GTCTATGAAATAAGCATAAATATATTTTAAGATGTAGAATAGACAAAACGTTTTTGCATCTTAAGAAGAAGTCCTTCCCTCCCTAATTATCTCTGAGTTAAGTATTAAAGAAAACAGAAGCAATGATAGATCTAGTGATAGGATCTTAGGGTAATGTGGGAGGGAAGTCAAACAAACAATTGAAATTTATGTGCTTTCACTTTAAACTGGCATTTTAATCAAAACCAATTTAAAAAAAAAAGTCTAAAAATAAGCCCAACTCCAGAAAGCTGGGTAAGGGGAAGAAAGAAGGAAACATTTACCTGAGGCATCTCCAACTTTAAAATCACTGTCATCTGAACTATCATAATCGAGAGCTTCCAGCAGAGAAGCTGCCAAAGGCTTCACCTGCCTCCTCTTGGAGCTGCGATCCACTGTTGAGAGAAAAAAATTACTTCGTCATTCATAATCACACCACACACAGGGGAGAGCTGTGCTGCCGAGGGAAGATAAAGATGACCTCGCACGGAAATCTTTGACTAATTGCGTTCTCAGCAAAAGGGGTCGGAGGAAGCTTGGGATGGGACGTGGGCTGGGGAGAGGTGAGCAGCTCTGTGGACAGCTCCTGCCCAGGGATACGGCCAACGCCAACTCAGACCGGCCAAAATCAAAGCTGACCCTCTTCGTGCATATCTTGTCAAGATGTTTCCGCGACTCCCTCGTAATTCCTCCTCATTCAGACACCGTGACAGTCAATAGAAAGAAAACGCAAAGCCCAGGGAATAAAAGAAGCGGTGTTCATTCCCGCAGACCACGGAGGGAAAGTGGCCACGAAGGGTCCAGCTTCCCGCAGGGCTCTCCCACCCCTGCCCTGTCTCCCCCAGCCCTGACTTCCAGAAGGGCTAAAATAGACCTTTCTCGCCGCGGAGGCCTTGGACACACTTACTAAGGAATCCGTGAGGTGGTCGTTTGGAGGAGACCTAGGTTGAGGCTGCGGGAGCCCAGGCAGCGCCGAGGTCGGGAACTGGGGACGCGGAGACAAGGCCGAAAGATGCTATTTAAAATCGGCGGCGTCGCCAACCGGACCAGGGCGCTCCCAGGAGCAGCCCCGCGGTCTCCCCCGTCCTCCCCCGGCCCTCGGCGTTCGCTCTCCTTCCCACGGCGCTCCCCGGCCGGAGGAGCCCTCCGGCCTAGGCAGCGCTCCCAACCCGGCGGCCCTGGGGAGTTAATTTCTCCCGTTACAAGTAGAAGAAAAAAATAAAATAAAGAAAAACTTTATTAGCCTGCACCAGAAGCAACAAAAGACCCAGAATTTGCACAGTCCGAGGCAAGCTGCCTCAGACAATAGAGTGAGAAACGACCCGGATACAGCTCTGAAGAGAAGGAAGTGAAAACACGAGGCTGAGTGCGGCCCTGAGAGCAGCATGAGCCGAGAGCGCGTGCGCTGGACTCGCCACTGCGCTCCCTCCCAGAGCAGAAACCGAATAGAGCCGAGCGGAAGTCGAGAGGGAGCCGGCGGAACCGTTGAGGAGCCGAGCGAAGCCGAGTAGTACCAAGCGGGAGCAGAGGTCTCTCCCAGACCCAGTGCGGCTCCGCCCACAAACCCCTGAGGCTCCACCCTCTCCGCGCCTAATCCCGCCCTTCGGCCCAAATCCCGGGGAGGCCAGTTTTTGTTTCTGGTTTGTTTTTAAGGATTTACGCAGAGTAAACTTCCCAGAAAGGGATGTTTACTACCTTAAGTCACTACCGAAAACCAATTGATACTGACAGCCACACTCTACCTGCTGCTTCCATAAATTCCATCTCATGAAATATCCTGGAACGTGCAAAAATCTTATTTTCCGAAAAGGGATAATTAGACCTTGTTTGCTGCTTTGAAAATTATAAATCTAACAGAGAAAAAATATTCATTTCATTATATAATTAACTATTGTACTGTAGACAGACATTTCCACACAAATAAAACGTACACAAAACTGCTAAGGGAAACAGAGAAAGAATAAGTCTGGGGAAAATTCCTTCTCAGAAGTGTATTGTGTATTTTCTCAGGATGTTTGTCCACATGAATGTGAAATAGTGCTTTGTATGCACTTAGGGAATTTATTTTTTTAGATGAATTTTTAAACCCGTAAAAACTTGAGGACAGTATGTACAATCAGACATGGCAGTCCTTCAACAGTGTCTAGCCACATTTATTCACATACAAGTTAACTGTTTTTAAAACATTATTAAAAAGTTAGAATCTGAAGC